AGAGCACGGTACAACAGATTCTTTTCCCCGTTTCTTCGTATATATATATATATATATATATATATTTATATATATATTTTTTTTTTATATATAATATATTCGTTACTTTTAATAATATATATATATATATCATATGGTATTGTGTACACTATGATTTTACATCTCGTAAATAGATAGTCACTGGACGATTCGTACAACGGATTCCCCGCCTTCGTGGAAAACTAAACAGCTCCCCGTCTATCTCTCTTTCTCTCTCTCTCTCTCTTGGTTCGAGTTACGTATATGTTTTCTGCAATGCTTCGACGATTCGTCACCGCACCCCTCCACGCGCGCCCCTTTTCCATTGAAAAACGTTCATTAAAAAATAAATTCCTCGCGTGAGCACCGGATCCCCGGCCCGATAAAAACTTAAAAACGATTCGTGGCTAAAAGAACATCACCGAAAGAAAAAAGAAAACAGAACAACGTACACACGCGCGCAACAAGCAACGAACGATCAATAGGAACATTAAATCACCAAGGCGACTTCTACCGGTGCGAAAAGCTTTCGAGAAACGAGAATTTTCCGTGGAAATGCGTACAATCCACGTCGAAACATTAACCAGGTAATAGTTGTATGTAAATACTTCACGGACTGGCCGGCCGACATTTCAGACACATCGAGGGATCCTCTTGGGGGTTGGGGGGGATGGAAAGGAGTCGGAATGCCTTGTACGAATCGCGTCGACGGGGGTAGTTGACGAAAAAATAATTAGGCGTTAATTTCTATAATCTGAATGTACGTGTGTGTTTATGTATATGTGTATTCCTGCGTCCCCTCCTATTTTGTCCGCGTGGCTTCTCTCTATCTCCCCATTAGTATATCGCGATCGTCTAGTCGCTTCTCGGGTTTTACGAAAATTCTTACCCGCGAGTAAAGTAGGCGCGACAAACGGCTTTTCTATATCTATGGAAAAAGGTCTACCCTGACACCAAATTACGTATTTAATGTACTAAGAGTGAGATACTCGTCCGGTGATGTGTGTGTGTCTCTTCCGTTTCCCGCAACGCAACGGAAGCCTGCGTCACTACGCGTCGTGTTCGTTCTCTCGTGTGCTATGTAGTCTAACACGTTTTTTCCTCGTCGTTTTCTTCGAGTTTCCCTCCACAGTTTTGTTCAGTCTTCGGTGTCCCGTGGACAAGCGCCAAGTACAACGAAAAATAAAAATGAAATAAACACGCCACGGAAACAACGGAACAATATTGTAGAATAAGAAAGAACAGGGGAAAAAGAAACGATAAAAATTTGATAAAAAGAAAACATAATAATATGATCGGGGTCGTTTTCAACGATACGGACTCGACGTGTGCGCCGATATATAAACTATGGTAACACCACGTAAAAATTAACAGACAGGAGGATAATTAACATACCACCGCGAGGTGAGCGATTAACGTTTTATCAACGGGGACTGAAACAGAAAATTAAGAGAGAATAGGACGACACGGAACGCTAGTCTGGGATGGGGGAAAATGAAATTTCTCTGTCGAGAGAACATGACCGTCGCGTTCTGAGGATCCTCGGGGGACGGATCCGTGTGTGGGGATCGTCGACCACCGAGGATTCCGTCGTTCTTGGCGGAGTCGCGATAAATTATCTTAGATAATATGGAAAACGTACTGCTTTCTGTACAAGTTTGGCTTGTATATTAGTGAAAGCCCTGGCGATACCTGGCGCGATATCCTTGTGAGATCTAACCGAAGCGATAAATGAACGCGGATGCTCGTCGACGAGTCGGCACTCCCGAACCGATTGTACAGCGTCTCCATTTTGTTTCTGTGAACGTATCGGATCGGACAGGTCACTGGGTCCTTGTTTCGGTCAATGATTTTTTTTTCTGAGAAAATTCAAAATCATTTGAGAGTACGGTTTATCCATTTTTGGGGATGTTTACGTCGACGGACTCTGGAGGCGGAAGACAGTATTACCTCGCTAAGTGCTCGCTGTTTAGGACCGATTGCGAGATTGCAGTGAAATTGACACTGGTTGTTGTTCACTATTCGGTCTGTGGAATATGATGATAATAAAAAAATAAGAACAATGTAAGTTCCTGAATAACGAAATCGAAACGATGAATAGAGATCGGTCAAAGTTTTAAGCAGAGAATAAAATATAGACGACTTTGTCGGTAATATTTCAACAGTAAATAAAAATTCTAATATCGAGTAAAATAACAATTAACTTTTTAGAAGAGTTGTATAAATATTAGGTGCACCAATAAGCCAGTCCAAATCGTTTGACAAATTCAAAATAGGAACTGATGCTATCTGAAAAAGTGTTCACGGTATCTTGGACCATTTTCATCCAACAAAACGGTGAATAACAATAACAACGAAAGTGAACAAACAGCGAGGTGATACTGTACTTCAGTCACGATTAACGTCCGTCAAATCGACGATTCATTGCCCACCTGTAACCCCGGAAAATTTCGTTATTTTTCATAAAAAAATAAATTTCTACACTTCACTCCTTGCTCTACCGGGCCAACGTAGAGATGGGCATAACTCTCATCCACGCGAAACACCTTCGAATAACCCGAAAGCCATTGTTCATCGATAAAATGAAAGCTTAGTCATAGAATAACATTTCATTTCGGACAATTAAAGTCTACCTAAAAAGAGAAAATTATCTAACCGAACAAATACCGCTGGAACACACTCTCACAACTATGCATTATCTACTATTCCAACAAAAATTCTGCCCATCTCCACACGAAAGGCCCCAAAAGCTACGACAAAGATCTCGAGACCAAATGCCAATACGAGCTGCAAATATTCCCCGTCGATTCTCGAACGTCTCTCGCTCCAGCACCAAGAACGATTTAAAAAAAAAAACGAGAATATCAAAGAAGAAAAAAAAATCCAGAAAAAGAAATTCCGATCGGGTGCAGTCGGAACACCGCAAAAGGATCGTTGCGTCAGCGGCGGCAACAAGATCCCAGCGCGCGTCAGACCGTCGTACGTATATTCCTGTAAACCGACGTTAATTCGCCTAATTACAACGCGAGGTCCACGGATCGGTAATCGCGAGCGTAAACCACGGCTAATTAACTCTGTAAAAGGAGAACTCTTACGGCGGATCGGCATCGATTTGTATCACTAAATTCCAACTCAGGGCAAAGGAACTCGACCAAGCGTTTCGATCGCAGCGCGTACACGCTTCGTGTGCAACAGTATTCCGTGTAGTAGATCCTCGGTATCGGGACAAGGTATGCCTGTCCCAAGGTATCCCAGAATCGCACGGAAGATACGCTCGTTGCTGGAGCAAGGAACGCGAAGAGACCGGCTGTACGAGGCGGCCATCTTTGTGATGCAACCCAAACGTGGACACGGTGTTCTATCAGTTTCATCTCGAGAACGGAGCCTGCGTGCATGCTGGAGACTCTGGAAAAACCGACGATCCCCTGTTGGGCGAGTGAACCGCGAGATCCGATTACCCTGATGATAACTCTTTTTCACTGGAGACTGTTCGATCTCGATTTCTTTCGGGACACCTGACAGTTCGTAGGGATATTTCGTGGATAAGAGGCAGTTTTAGGGGGTTGCTTTCAGGTTGGCTATTTGGGGTCTGGGGTTGTAGCTCGAGAAACATTCGAGGATCATCCCCGGATGATCCTCATCGAAGGATCCTTACTTGACAGTAGAGCAACGGATCTCCCTTCGTTTTCCATCGATCGTTCGAGCGCAATAAGACGAATTCTTCGACAGCCTCGCTTTAATTACTCCCCCTACTTAAAAGACGCGTCCGTTTCATTTTTTTTTTCTCCTCCTTCGTCCGTGGTGATTAATTGATCGTCTCGTCGTCGACCGTCGTAAACAAGTCACGACGGAGGCGCGGCGAGTTTCTAATCGTTCGGCATCTGCACCGTTTAAAACTAATTCTAGGTCGTCGGTCGGCTGGGCGCGCGATCGTGTTTGGCTCCTCTCGTGTGCTGTGCTTGGCAGTTATTCTTCCTCCTACTCCTTCTTTTCCGCTAATAAAACGTCGTGTTCCCGGCGATCTTGCGGTGACTCGTCGCGCACCGCCCCGATTAACAATATACAATTTTTTTTCTTTATACGTTCTAGGAATCAGTCGCAGGCTAGGTCCTCCTTTGGCCCAGCCAAATAAGTACGTAGTTTCGAGGGTGTGCTTCGCATCTTCTCTACGCTTCGCGTTTCTACTACGCTCTCTAACCATCTACGATTAACTTGCTTGTATCTGTGTATTTGACCTTGTATGTGTGTCTCACACTCTCTCTCTCTCTTTATCACTCTCTCTTTCTCTCTGTGTAAATACGTGGCGGTGTGTGTGTGTGCGTGTACATGTGTGTACGTATGCTTGCTGCGATCCCATCGTTCCTTTCTTCCGTTAAAAAACAAAAGAGACGGCCGACCGAAACATCGTCGCGCGGCAACTTTTCGCCAAGCCTTGCCCTCTTCTTAGCTTCCCTTTTATTCACGGGGATTCACCGATCCGGAGCGGTCCACCGAGTCCGTGTCGTCGGTTTCTTTCCGTTCTCTTCTCTCTGTCTCTCCCCTCTCTCTCTCTCTCTCTCTCTCTCTCTCTCTGTCCCACATCGTCCCGGCACAAAAAAGAAAAAAAAAACAAGAAAAGAGAACAAGAGATCACTCGCGGGGCCAGAGCCTCCCACGCGCGGACACCTATCTCGCTCGTAGCAATACCAACGGAGAGGTCCCCGTATCATCCTCGTGTCCCTTCTCCCGCGAGAGGAGGGAGAAGAGAGCCACCAACACACGCCATTGCGCGTCTATCCCGCCGAAGGTCTTCCACACGACGACAGGACGCGTGTGGTCATTGTACACACACACTGGGCTCTGCTGCTCTCTCCCGCTTCTCGCGTACGATGTCTGCTTGCTGCTGCTGCGCGCGCGCGCGTCCACACGCTGCGTGTCCAGTCTCCTCGTTTTTTTTTTTTGTTTCTTCTTTAAAAGAAAGACAACCGGCCCAGAAAAGTCTCCTATGTGGGCACCTTACTGACCGCCTTCAGTAGATCGCTCTGCGTCTTGTCCAGTCCGCTAACATGATGCGGCTGCTGATGCTGCAAGGCGGCGCTCTGCTGTTCCTGCTGCATCTTCGCCTGTTTCTCCGCCTGTTGCTTCTTCATCATGTCCTGCTCCTCCCGTTCCCGCCTCGCCTGCTCGTTGATCTCCTTCACCGCCCTGAGCTCCTTCTTCAGCTTCATCCTCCGGTTCTGGAACCAGATCTTGATCTGCCGTTCCGTCAGACAGAGAGCGTGCGCGATCTCTATTCGCCGCCGTCGCGTCAGGTAATGGTTGAAATGGAACTCCTTCTCCAGCTCGAGGGTCTGGAACCGGGTGTAGGTCTGACGGCCCCTGCGCCTCGGACACCCGTTCGGCCCTGGAAACGTCAGAAACGCAGATTTGCCTAGGTTAGTTTTTTCATGCTGGACCAGCCGTACCGTTCAACCCTTTGCACTACCACAGTCAATTCAGAGCCGCGAGATTTGACGAATTCTGACGATTCAAAGTTTACGTTTACTGATATATTTCTTTTGGATCATCTTGTTTTTGATATTTGGTAATCATTGGCGAATCGATGGTAGAGAAGTTGACTGTTTACTTACTGGGCAAGCGTGCAAGGAATGCAAAGGGTTGCCTGATCGACTGATAATTAATAGCAATGCGCACGGTTGAAAAACGAACGATTTCTTTTTCGTTCACGCTGTTGTCGATGTTGAAGACGAGTTCTATTCGCTGATACGACGGAAGAGGTGATATCTATGGTTTAAATTATTTCACCCCTTATGCTACACGAGGTATTTCCAACGTTCCCTAGTATTCTTGCTATTGATAGTCTATCATACATGGCTACGATAATGAAACTTGTTGACGAGCCTAGCTCATCGGGGTCCAATTTGATGAAGAGGGCTCACGGTGGACCCGTAATATCGACTCGGGTGGTTAACTATTTACGCTTCGATTATTCGTGCAAATTAGCCGTTACAGACATGCGCGATCGAAACGATCGGCGAATCCATTGGGTTCAACCCTTGCGCACTGTTCAGTGTCAGTTTCAGACAAAATGGCACATACATTTTCAATATTTACTATATTAAAAAGGTATACGTGGATAAATTCTACATCAATAATTTAATTTTTTTAAAATAGAACGTATAACATTCAATTCCAATTTCGACTCAATATCATTCAATGTAATACAGTACATCTTGAAACTTTTGATTCCTGTATTTTGCGCTTAAGATTCGATTAAGTCAAATATATCGTATACAGCAGCCACATTGAAAGGCATTACTTCATTACTACAGAGAAACACTGTACATTGATGTAAATAAAAATTTCGTTATTCTTTCCCAGCTATTCAGTCAAAATATATAGAAGTTTCAGGTGGTTTTATAGTTTTGAAACGCACTACAGACACTTGTGTTCAAGTACCACTACCAGCTACTATTGTAAGTAGGCAGGGGTTAAACGTAGGGTAGTTTTTAATAATTCCAGATCGGTGCATCACAAGAACAAGCAATCCCTCCGTTAACTGTACGAATGTCACCAATCTCACGTTTCTTCGAAAGCACGAACTGGCTCTAACTCGTGACCGTTTCGACTGACCGAAACAAGGTACACCCCAGATTACGAGCGTAGCGCATTTTGTTACGTAAGTTTACGTTCCGTTTTTCCGTGTTCCGAGCGACCTGCGTGTTTCGTTGGTGACCACAAATCTTAACTCTCTCCTCACTTTCACTTTTCCGGGCCCCAGGCCGGAAAAGAAAAAAGCAGGGCGCCCGGATGGGTCAGTTTATTGCAGGGGTTGAACGAGGTAACCCAACAGGCAGAAGTGTAAAAAGACACGAAGAAAAAAAAAAGAAAGTTTCCCCCCCGAAAAGTCTCGTGGCCCATTGTAGGGGAAGCGAACCCTTTCACGAAATGCCTTCTGCGACGGCCAACTTTCTCCAGCCTGGAGTCAAAGTCGTAAAACGGGGTACGGTGAATTTTTTACGGTGTTTAGGTAGCCATCGAGTTGCGTCGCCGCGCTAGCTAACCAGGTAAAAACTCGTGTCCGTCATCTGGGCCCCCGTACCCTGAAGGAACTGCTTTCGGGCTGTGGTAAAGCTTTCTCGTGACAGACACTCGCGACACGTTCGAGTCGTTACGGAATAATGCCATTTTTGTTGACGAACTGATTGCGTGGAAAAATAGCAGATCTAATTCCAAGAAAAATCTTGTGACAGTTTTCTTAATCTCTGGGACCAAGCATTAGAATTGAATCTTCTTCAAGGTATTCCGGTTCGTTTAATTTTCGAACTGGACATTGTTTTATCAGCGATCGTTTCTGAAGTTAAAATTCCTCAGATATTCTTCAGAACTCTTCTGATATTTTTCAGGATTTCTCAGATAAATCATCTCTAGTACCATTGAAGGTTTTTACACCACCCTGAAGGAAAATTGAAATGGAAGTGAAAGTACACTGGACAAACAGCATTTGTGATTGAAGAAATTTCGCTAGTCTTCTTTCCACTAACACATTAACTATTAAAAATGTTTGTTATTCAGGCAATATCACGATGAAGTACATAAATCACGAACATCATCGACTCCTAAAAGAAGAGTGCTGTCAACCAACGTCTCTATTACCAATTGTACTCGCAATCTCCCAGACAGAAACAGTTAATAAAATTAAATAATCGTGTTATCAAAGTCACCAGCCTCGAACCGGCGACGGCACGAATGATTTAAAATGACACCTCGGCAATTCAGGGTCGGGGACGCGGCGAAAGAGAGAGTACACGTTCGCGGGATCGTAACGGAGACGAATTGATAAATTTCTCACGAGCAATTTTCGCAATTGGCTCGAGCGTAATCTCACTTTTGACCGTCGACAAAGTGGTGGGGGACAGAAAAGAGGGGCCAGGGGGACCCCGTATTTTCGGTTCGTCGCTAAAGAAACCGGTTCCACACGACCGCAAATGCGGGGACAGCCATAATACCATCATTCTCACGGAGACGCTCAGTGGCCATATTATTGCCTCGTGATGAAGCAAATACGCGCTACCGACCAATAAAAGATAGCCAGAGTCTCTCTCTGTTCCCGAGCACGTCTCTCGCCGAGTCACGCACCGGAACCACACGCGTCTCTTTAACGTTCCAATGTACAACCGAGCTCGAAAATGATTATCTGTATCAACGCACGCCTGGACGCCGGAGGCTGGCCACCATTTTCTGATCACTCGATTTTCGTATGGAAATATTCTAACACTTTGCAAACCAATCGAGAGTTCCCTTTTATTTCTAAAATCTGGTATTATTGAGCAATTAATTGAAAATATTTACACTTCGTGCATAATTTTTTTTTTTTAATTTTTATCCTTTACTAATTTTATGTTCTTCTATTAGATCTAATACTTTCATTAAATCTTTGTAGAATAATATTTTCTCTTTTCTTTAATTATCAAACCTGATTCCATACTTTTGGCCGATAGTGTATGTCTAACTAATGACCTTGAGGTGAGCTTGAACACCGACAAAAAAATGTTTACTTCATTAAAGTGTGTGTGACCGTCAAAGTGTTAAATTTCCTTGATCCAGAAACTGATTCACACGACATATGTACATTCGAACCCTGTCGTACATTTCGAAACGAAGTCCATACTTCAGAAACTGTCAAAAAATTAACGTCCATAGACCACTCGTCGATAAGAACGTTTCTAAAAAAAAAACCGCCAAAGAGGCGTAAAAAATTTTCGCGAAAACCCTTTCCACGCCATTCCCCAGTTCCGTCACCGAGAGAAACTTCGTTCCGCCGTTCGCAGTAAAATAAAGACGAACGAGTTCCAGCGGCGAACAGCCGCAAATCCCCCCCGTCCAACTCATTTCGGACCGAGTTCTGAAACCACCCCGTTTTCCCCGAGTTTCCCCGGCCGTTACCCGAGCATCACGGACAGTTTCAATAGCGAGGAACAGACTCGGTGACGCTCTGTCGAGCCATCCGGTCCTCATCATTCAAAACCGACGACTACGAAGAAAGGAGAACGAAGTCCGAAAAAAGAGGAAGAAGACGAAGAAGTAGTCTCAAGCTCGGTGGGAATGCCGGGAATGCTGATATTGAATTCAGCATGGCCGTTCGAGCAGCACAGAGTGCGGTCCAGGATTGACTGGGTGTGCGTGTCCCTCGCTGTACATGTGTGTACGTACGTGTGAGCCGTCCACGAATCTCTTTGGGTGAGGTCTGGGATGATACTAGTGGTAGTGGTGCGTACACGAGGAGAACACCCGTGGGATCATAGTGTGTGCGCACGAGGCAGCGAGAGGGGAAGGGTGGCAACGTGGTTTTTCGGGTGGGGTTGTGTGTGCGTGAGTTCGGGGCTCACGTACAGCCCCGTGCGCGCGGCCCGGTGCAGCCACACAGGGGTGGTTGCTGAACCCCCGAAGGGTGGGCCATAGGTTACCTTGGCAACCGGAGGGAAAACCATTCCATCCTGCCGGCGGCACATCACGCCAGGGGCGAGTCAAGCGGCGAGAGAAAACCCTCCGGTTGCATCCTCCACCCTCCTGCTCTCTGTGCCGCCGACCCCGCTTGCCTAACCGTTCCTCACCCAAGTTCGCTGATTCTCCGACAACTGGAGAGCCTGATTGTCCCAGCAGTTCGGCCGCCATAAATATCCGCGAATCCATCGAGCGACCGCTGACGCGATACGTTATCGACAGTTTCGTCGGATCTGGATAATATCCGCGTGGAAATTATACAGGCTGTTGTGGACGATGAATGTGGTGGTGGGATTTGTTGAAAGAAATGGGGTCTTCAACGGATCATAGACGACACGATTTATCGGACAAGTAATTGTATTATATATATTGCCTCGATCGTTTGGAAGACTGTTAAGTCATCGTCGATAACATAACACCAAAGATGTACGATTGATCTTCTTCGGACATCAACCGTATAGTACAAGAAATTTTGGAACCTTAAAGACTGACTATCATCAGGCTACACAGTTTGTGCCCGTACTATTGGAACACCCTATAGATAACCTCTTCTTCTCTCAACGCCTCTTTCGACCTATATCTTGACAAGATTTCAATCGGATTAACATCCGTGCATGAAGCATGTTTACGTTCCGGAGCGTTCGATTTATAGAATTCTTCAACTTCGAATGTTTTCCAACTTTTTGCTCGCGTAAATATCTCTGTCAAACGATTCAGAAAATCGTTTTTGCCGCTCGGCGATGACGCACGTCGCGAGGAACGCTGCAAACAGCCTACGGATAGGTACGGAAAAATGCAGACGTGGAGAAAGGAGGAGATCGCTGCCGCGAAAGGAAATCGTTGGTCGGCGAATAAGTTAGCCGGTTATTTTCACGCACCGCAACGAGGCGATAACCCGCG